AGGCAGCTCTCATAGGTCAAATAGTTAATCAGCAACTCTTTATTGCCACTTTAGGAATGCTTAGACTGGTAGAATGAGCAAGTAACTTAAACACAGACACACACACACACACACACACACACACACACACACATTTCTGGAGAGACAGAGGGGTCAGTCAAGTAACCAGAAATGTGCCATGAATTTGTCTCTGGGCTGAACAGACAAACAAAAAACCCAAACCCACGAAATCTCTGGCCCTCCTCCCTAACCATTCAAGAAGAAAATTTCTTTGCGAAGGTACTTATACACTATTTTTCAGTATCCTTACTTATCCTGGTCAAAGAAAATAGGACCAAGCTGACACTCTTTCCAGCCCTTCTCAAGTGCGGATCTAAGCTCCTACATTCAAGAAAAGACTTTAGGGATTGGAAGCCCCCCACCCCCACCCCACTTAGATAGGACGGCCTTTATTTTTCAGTCCTCCCACCCCCCAAAGCAAAGGGAAAATTGCACCCTGTTCATCAACAGAGGTCACTTCTTTGATCCCACTGTGAGACCAGCAGAACACAAGGAATCTTTCCTACTGTATCAACCCGGATAAATAGGACCAGGGACTGCTCCCTTTGTCCCCGGCCGGCTTTCTGGCCCATGAAGGCTGATTTTCTCTGTCTTCTGACATCACCTGTTTGCTTTAAACCATAAAATAAATAACTGCACCTTTAGTGAGCTTCCCCTTTGTCCCTAGGTATCAGAATCGTTTGTGGGTTTGGCTTAAAGCTACAGAAAAGACAGAGAGTGAGAGAAGAAAAAAGGTATTTTGCCTGAGGACTTGAAGTCCCCCCCCCCACCCCGTTTTCCTCCGCTTGACTGACTTTCTCACACTCGGATTCCCTGCAGCCTGCCAGAGCCGAGGTAGCTGCCCGGCCAAGAGCTATCCTGGGAGAGCTATTGAAAGAGCCTTGAGTAAGTACACACGGGGCGGATTTCTCCTCCCCCAGTACCTGCTGCGCACCTGTACAGGGAGCAGTCCCACACATATCACCTGATCGCAGCCTTTTCAGAGACCGTGAGAAAAATAAAGCCGGGGATAGAAGAGATGTTTGTTGTCTCCCCGGAGCCGCAGCCGGCAACCCGCAGTCTGAGTGCCCAGAAACAGCACGTTGCCGCCGACGGTGGGGCGGTGCACGCGTGTTTGCCAGCGCGCTAGCCTGGCGGGGGTGGGGGGAAGGGTTGGGAAGCCAGAGATCACTTGTAGAATGACAGGCCTCCCTGCCTACGTTTTCTGGCATCCGCCTGACCGGTAGTTTTATGATCCTTTGCTGGAATCATGATTGTAGTCCTTCTAGATAAGAGCCCAGAGATGCTCATCATGGCAGAATTCACAACCAGGATTTCTCACTGGAAGTTTCACGGAAGAATGTCCGCCCCGCTCCCTCTTCCGAGGAACCAAAAAAAAAAAAAAACCAAAAAAACAACCAAATGGAATTCAAAGTTAAGTCTACGTGCATATTTGGCAGTTGCTGAATATATACTTTTTGAATGAATAAATCAATCGATGGCTGCATCATTCCCCCCACCCACCCCAGAGAAGGGTCCATAGCTTTCAGCAGAATTTCAAAGCTTCTTGGGACCCAGGAAGGTGGAGGAAACGGATCTAGGCAATCTCCACTTACAATCTCCATTTACAAGTGCGTACTCTAAGCCCCAGAGGGGCCAGGGACTGACTTAAGGGCCTCCAGCAACACAGGGCCAGAGTGGCAGCCGACAGCCAGCTCAGAACTCTTTCCACCCCACCACAGTGCTGTGGTCCGTGGGAAATTCAGGGTGGGGTTTTATTCGAGTTGCGCTCACCACCAAAGCCTGGATTTAGAATAGACACATTAACAAAAGGACTTTGAATTTCCAGAACTTTTTTGGTTTCAAATTCTGAGGCACTTGAGCTGCTCTGCACCCAGTTTTTGGATGGAGAAGAGGATAGGCCAGAAAGCCAAGTGTTCATCAAGAGAAGAGGACTCAGGGATGCTTGGAACAAGAGTCCTGGTGGCCATGAGGAGGCATTAGAAACAACTGCAAGTCTGCATTCCGTCTTTGATAAAAATAAGCTGCTACTTCTCAACAAAACTGCCTGGTTGGTTTCTAGCCAAGCGGGGACCTCTAGGTGCAAACGGGGTGAAGGCAGAAAATTCAACATTGGCTAATAGCAGCCTGTAATGCTTTCTGCTCCCCACTCCCCACCCCCCTTACAAAACTTGACCAAGCCAGGGAGACCTGGGAAATGTGCCCTTTTCTGATAGGCCCTGAAAAAGGATGGCTGCCAAGAAAGCCTTTTCCAAACCGGGTTGGGGGGTGGGGGTGGGGGTGGGGCAGGGCACTCTGGAATGCCTTACCTCCCACATTTGACCCAGTCACAGGCAGCAGCAGTGCGGTGGGAAGGCTCTAAACTTGCTTTTAGCTGACCTTTACCCTCTGAACAGCGCTGCAGTGAGGCAAACCTGCAAGCCCAGGGATGAGAAGGGCATTCCCCGGGGAGCATAGGGTTGCTAACTGCTCCTCTGTGTGTGAAAGGTTCAGAACCGCACAGGGGCCAGTGCCTGTGGGTTGGGGGGAGGGATGTCTCTGGAAGGCTCAAGAAGGTGAGGTGAAGCCTAGCCCCTTTAAACCCAGGACATGCATTTGTTTGGCTTCTCGATGGCCGCTTCAGTTGTGACATCAGATCAAATTGCTTAAACAAAACAAAACAAAACAAAAACAACAATAAAAAACCCCACCAAAACCCTGAGTTAGTCTGGAAAACGATTAGGATAAAACTTAAAGCCTGAAAATGGTATGAGAAGAATGTTCCAACATTTTTAAATTAAAATCTCCATCATTATTATCCTCACGTCATTTCTCTACTTCCAGGAGAAGGGTCAGGGGAGGCTGGGGAAGGGTCCTGAGAGGGGGTATAACTGAGCCCGAGAGAAGTGACTTGCCCCAAGTTCAGCAGCCTCTCCAAGAGGAAATAGCAAAGCCAGAATTAGGCTTAGATTTTCCACCCACCAGTACAGAAACCCACCTCACCATATCTCTCTAAAAACATCTTGACATATCATTTACAGCAAGTGGCTAAAATCCATCAAGGATGGATTTTCCAATCGGGAACCTGAACTACCTGCTGGTGCGTGATTTGGTAGTGTGACAGGCTATGCCCACCCAGAGCACGGGTAAATTCCAGGCTTGCTGCACTGGGATTTTCTTTGGGATTTGCCCATCACTCTGTAACCTCTGGAAAAGAAAGGATCTTGATTTCTGAGTTCCAGGAGCTGGGAAGCCACTTACAGGGCCACACAGAATAAGTCCGCCTGCCTCTCTGTCAGCCAAAGCAAGCCAAGCCACACACCATCCTTCCTTTCCTCCAATTGCCAACCTGTTTCCCTCATTTGTGCTCTAAAAGGAAGATGGGAAGGGGGGTGGGGAGAGAATACGTCCAGGCCCTGAATCTGTGCTTTATCAATACTAGGCTTTTATGGGGACCAGAGAAGATGGGATAATGTTGGAGCCCAAAGCCATTGAGCTGCTGACTGACGTCACACATAGCAGAGGGAGAGGTGAGAACAGAATAGATTTTCCAAGTGGTTGATGGGGTGGTATTCGCATGTGAAATATCTATTTTTCCTTTTAGAGATCAGCCTTAGGGAACAAGAGAAGATGGTTTAGGCAGCTGCTGTGGCCACGGCTTAAGACTCTGGTGGTTTCCAGCACGGCTCGGGCCTTCTGGTCTCATCCACAGAGCTGGTGGTCACTGTGCCCTGCTTGGTAGAGGACAGGGCACTTTCTAGTCCATTACAGCATTTTGTCCTCATATATGGTTTTATGATCTAGAAGGATTGTGGTGGGAGGCTTAGGGAGGGGGAGAAAATTCAAGTGGTCAGTTCAGGAGGCATTTGGTCAGGCTATGGGCAGTGGGGGGCACAGGATATAGGACAGGTAAGCTTTCTGGAAAACAGTACCTCTAGAGAGACAAGACAGGGCAGGGAGCTTAGCAGCCAGGGGAGAATTAACTTTTCTTTCTCAGCCATGGGCAAAAATAGAGTTTCCAGGAAAATGGAACAGAAGGGAGAAGAGAGATGTCTGTCAGCTTGGTGTAGAATAGTGGTGATCTGGAGGACACGTCTTTGGGAGTGTGTGTGTTGGGGGGAAGCAAGGAGGAAGTGTCCTTTCTTGTGATGGGAAGCCCAGTGCGGGAGAAGAAAGGGGAAGGAATCCCACTTAGCAAGAAGACGACTGAGCGGGTTCTGGAAAGGATACAGGAAAGGCAATGGCCATAGTCTCCCCTGGGCTGAGGCTTCATTCAGCAGACAGTGTACCTACAGGGAAACAGGGGCTCTGAGTGAGGGGGCCCTTAGAAAGCTCTGGCACCTGCATCATTTTCCCCACTAGATAGTTCATTCTGTGCTAGTTTGTATTGCTATAGGCATAACATAAAATGCCACAGACTGGAAAAGGCCGTGGGATTGTTTGGGGTGATGGCAGGGAATAGGGGGGCTATGAAGACCCTGCATCCTGCGCCAGGGTTGGTCTGAGGGTCATGGTCCCGGCGATGGGGTGGCTGCATGGCTCAGAACGAAGGGGAAGGCAAGCGCATAAAATCCTCGCCGTTCCAAGAAAGGACTGAGGACCGAGTGCTCAACCCCAGCTCCCTAACCACTTATGGGCAGCTGCCCACATATGGTGCATTCGGGGCACGCTCTGCCCTCCTCTGTGTGAGGCATTCTGTGAGGCAGGGAAAAGGACCCTCTCCTTTCGTGGGGTGGGACGTCCACAGAGAAGCCTTGACTGAAATCTGACCGGAGCCAGTGAGGGAGAGCTCTGTTGCAACACGGTGGTGGGTAGCGCTGCTTGCCTAAATGATGGAGGTCTCTTGGTAAAGTCCCGGAGCATTGCCGGCTCCTGGAGGAGGTTGCCAAGGTGTGTAGGTCTATCCGGCACGTCTCCAACTGTGGCCTTTCTCTCTCTAGCCCTCCGTGGCTATGGACGGAGCCAGCACTCACATTCAAGTATTTGATCTCCTTGTCCTCGGTGGCGAGTCCCCCTCTTCACCTGGCACTTGGGACAGACCTAGACTTGGTGTCTAGCACTTCTTGTTATCTGGACAGAAGGAGCGAGACCCAGCTTGTTTTCTTTGAGCCGCGTGGACCTGTGTTAATGGCGCTGAGGTAATTTAGCCAAGGATTTCCAGTGGCCTATTTCACTGTATTCAGTTCCGTGACGATTCTTGAGGACCTACTGTGTGTAAAGCAGACCCACACGCCTCTTTCGGCAGATCACTTCCATCCCCACTGCTGTGTGAATGCTGGTCATCTGTGCAGAGTGGTGAGACTTACAGTATAAAAATTTCCCCTTTGCCTTCCACTTTTTTCATATCTACCGCTTCTCTGATAAAAAAAAAAAAAAAAAAAAAGCTCCGAAATTCCTTATAGTGTCTGGCATCCCCAAATCTTTGGAGAAGAAATACACGAATGAACTTTGACTTAAGGAAATAGGTTTTATTGGCAATTGGGTGAAACCCTCAGAGGGTCCACGTATTTTTTCCAAATTTTTCTTGGTTGTGGAATCTAAGAGGTCGGTTGCCTTTGATTGCTCCTGGTGGCCACCTCTGGCCACCCGGGCTGTCCCCTACAGACAGCTCTACTCTGTTGCATTCAGGTGAATTTGGAGGAGTCCATGGTTGTCCGTATTTTCCCAGGCCTATCTTTATTGATGGTTATTAAAGGCACACCACCACATGGCAATATGAAAGTACAAAGCAATTCCCAGGGTAAGGTGCGTGGGAAGAAGTGAGATACTGAGGTCCCAAACCGTTCCACTGTAATCACAGTCTGCCAGATCGATGTACAGTTAATCAGTAAGGTGTAGGTAGCCGGGTTCCACCACTGGGCAGCAGATGGGAAGAAGGGGAAAGGCTGGCGGGGAGATCACTGTTCCTTCTGGAAAACTGTAAAAGAAATTGAGAAGGGGGTCACCTGGGAAAGGAAAAGCTGATGGGCAGTCACTCATGTGGACCAGGAGCCCGCAAACGGTCAGAGGAAGGAGCCCCGCTGACCTCCTCCCTGGCCCTCATGCTCTGTTCACGCCAGGCCCTCACAGAACATTCTGTGTAACCAGGAAGGACGGTGTCATCGTGTGCAGACACGCTGGGTTTAATAAGTGTAAATACAGCACAAGAAAACACCAGTTTTTATAGCACACCCCAACACACCTGTTGTTTTACGATGCTGATGATATTGATAAAGGGGCCCCTTAAAGTTGAGGTGAAATGGCCTTGTATTTAAATAGGCACTTCAAGTGTTTTACAGCTGTGATTGACTGACCTGGTGATTATTTCTGTTAGGAATGTTTCACACAGATCTCTATATACATTCAGGGAAAATGATGGCCGTGGGGCTAGAACGCAAGGACGACAGAGTCAGATGGCCTCAGTTCATGTTCTAGCTTGTTTGCTTTCTAGCTATGGGACCTCAGTCTTCTCTGCCTCGATTTCCTTCCCTGTTTAATGGGGAGATAGTCCCAGTGCTTATAGGATTGCCATGAGGACTAATATGTATTGTGCTTAGAACTGGGCCTGGCATGTCACAAATACAATGTTAAGTTTTCTGCCGCTTCTCTCAGTGCTGTCTGTGTATCAGTATGTAAGGTAGGTAGCCTCATTTATCAGAAAAAGAAATCGTAAGATGTTAGTTAACATTTTCAAAGAAATGGATGGGCAGCCACTGTGGTAAATTGGTCCACGACTATTTGACAAAGCCAAGGCTTCAGCCAATCTTTCATGCGTGCGTCATAGGCTGGGGGGACCAGGAGAAACCTAAAAAATTATCTGTCTCCCGGGGCGCCTGGGTGGCTCAGTTGGTTGAGCATCTGACTCTTGGTTTCTGCTTAGGTCATGAGCTCAGGATCCTGGGAGGTGCTGGGCTCCATGCTGGGCATGGAGCCTGCTTAAGATTCTTTCTCCCCCTCTCCCTTTTTCCCTCCCCTGGCCACACCGTGGCTCTAGCGCATGCACACACAGTGGCTTTTTCTCTCTCAAAAAAAAATACACCCCCCCCCACATACACACCCACACACATACACACACATTTGGCTCCTTCTCCTTTTCCAGAGAAGAGGGTCTCCTCCACACAAGTAGCCCTGCTCCGAATAATTGTGATGAGCCTCAGGCTCACAGAAGGGAGAGTTCTGGATGCGGGCAAGGGCATCAGTGTGGGCCTGGCGCACAGGTGTGTGGGATGGCCCAGCCCCTCAGGGAGGTATGGGAAGAGCTCCCAATGGTCACTTGAATGTGCAGGAGCACACTCAGGCAGGCCCTCGCTAGATCCAGCCACCATTACGTGAGGTACAATTGGTGGAGACATGAGCGTCTGAGGCCTTTCCTGCCCGAGCAGGTTCTTGTCGATGACTGTCTAATTTATGGTCCCGACTCGGTCACTTCTGAGAGTAAAAGATAGTGTTGTTCCCAATCATGTTAGGACACCCGGCCTAATTTGGGACTCTTGGCCATCCTGGTTCTGTGGCCTGTGGTGACATGGGCTACGTCGTTCCTCTAGCTAGTCAGATGTCTTTTTATCAGAGATACTTCCTAAGAAGGAACACCATTCTTGGTCATTGATGTCTTAGCACTTCTATGTCTCTGGAAGGTGATGCCATTGATCTACCTTCCGTAAAGGGAGGAGCCTCGTTGTTGAGACTAGAGAACCTTGTTTAGCGTATCTAGAAGGGAGGGTCAGAGGAGGCCCTGTCATGGTTGCTTACAGTATGTTTGATGGGTCTTGGTCTCCTTTCCATAGAACAGACGTGCCTTGAGCCTCCCTACCTTCTGGTCTGCACCAGACTGCTGGCTGGGGTAGCCATGCCACTAGCCACTCTTGTACCTCCCGACTGTGGCTGACAATATCCGTTTCTCCTGGGCATGGGAATACAAGAAAGCAAGTGCCGTAATTTGAAATCCAGACCCTTGTTTAATGGCAGAAGGAAGACCCCAAAGGAAGGAGCATTTTCCCCACCTGAAATACTTGCCCTTTTAGTCTTGTATTTGACTAAGTCTTTTATGGAAAGAAAAAAAAAACCAAAAAACCCAAAACAATTTCTCTCCCCACCAAATAGGTCAAAGTCAAGGTTTGCTCTTTGTTATTTTCTTAAAAAAAGACAAGAAAGAAAAGAAAACTGGGTGCCTTGCCTGAGTGTTCTCCTATGTGCCTATTTAATGATTAATAATACCTTGTGGGCTATTGTTTGATGTGGCCTCTGCTGGTTTGAACAGGAGAATACTGATTCACTCTTGAGGCATTTATGAATCACAAGTGTTTACCCTGAGACAATAAACGAAAGGGGGAGATTGAAAAAAAAAAAAACACCCAAATATGTTGAATTCTTTGAGCAGAAACTGGAGATAACAGGGGATCTCAGTCTTTGATACCCAGCGTGGGGCCCACCGATTTCTCTCCCAGAATCAAGACCAGGTGAAATGACCAAGATGAGGCATTTGAGTTTTAAAGATTTTTCCTTTCACTTGCTGATAGGATTGAGGCAACTTTTCCTCTTGTTTTCCAGGTCACACGCATCCCTTGTCTTCCCACCTGTCTGGTTCCTCCATGTCAGTTGTTTAGAAGGGAGTTTCTGGATGGTTCTTTAAGGGAGCTATTTCCCTGAGAGGGTGGATTCGACAGATAGAGAGACGCAACAGGCCTCGGCGACAGACTGGACCAGGATGGCCAAGGAGGAGCCCCTCGATGACACCTGGTTTGTCACCCAAACAGCTAATTCTTCCACAGTTGCACTTGCAATAAGAGGTCCTAGACTTATTTTCCCTTCTTTCTGCCCTGAAGCCTAGAGTTGAGTGAAAAAAAGATTGCTACATTTGCCCCTAATGACCCTTTACTTTTTTTTTTTTTTTTGAGATAATTTTAGACTTAGAGAAAGGTTGCAACTAGTAAGGGAGCTCTCATACCCTTTCACCAGCTTCCCCAGTGTCATCGAATTGAGCAAATAATCTTGGTCCAGTGCTCTAAATGACAGACTTCCTTCCAATTTCATCATTTTTTCCCTAGTTGTTGTTGTTTTTGTTTTTTTTTTTCCGGGACCCCATCCAGAATTCCAGGTGCCTTGAGTTGTCTGGTGACCTCAGTCTCCTTCTCTCTCTTCTGAAGTCCATCCTTGTTTTCATGATGCTTTTGGGAATACCAACCTGCTGTTTTTATAGACTTTCCTCCTGGGGTCTGTGTGCTGTTTTCACACGATGAGGTCAGGGAGCTGTGCTTTTGGGGAACACATAGCAGAGGTGATGTGCCCTTCCCAGAGCAACAGGGAAGGGGTGACATATGCTGTCTTATTTCCCTGTTGCTGTTAAGCATGATTACGAGGGTAAGACGGTTTCTGCCAGGGGTGTCCACTGTAACGTTACACTTTCCCCCTTCCTAGTCCCTGAATGTTTGGGGGGTGATACTTCAAGGTTTCTGCAAATATGCTGTTTCTGCTAACCGTTCTGCCCACCAGATTTAGGATCCATCAAAGAATCTTGCCTGTGGTAATTACTGCTGTCATAATCTAATAGCGATTTTTGATCTCCCTTATTCTTTTTACATTTAACCATTGGAATGCTCCTTAAGGAGGAATTACATGATGTTGCAGGTGATAAAGCAGAAATAAGGAATCCATACTCTTTTGAAGCCTACATTTTAGATGGAGAGATGGACAAGCAAAATAAATGGAGTGGGGTAGGTAGTATATTAGTACTATAGATAGAAGTCAAGTAGGGAAGGAGGGGGAAGTGCTGGGAGTAGCAGGTTTAAATCACATGGTCAGGAAAGGCCTCTGAGGGAAGACATGTAGCAAGGGAGGGAACCAGTACGTGAATATGGGGTCTAAAGAGGAGAAACAGCAAGTGCAAAGGCCCTGAGGCAGGACCATGCCTAGTGATGGGCCCTAGGAAAGTGTGGCTTGTACAAAGTGAGCAGAATGCAAAGGGGAGAGAGGGAGGAGGAAGCAGAGAGTGGCAGACCAGATGCGGTGGGCTTGGGGCGGTCCACATGGCCTGGCTGTGGCTCTGAGGGAGCCAGAGCCTTGGCAAGGTTTTGAACAGAGGGGTCACACCTGTTCCTAAAAGAGCGCTTTGGCTGCCCTGTGGTGGCCCCAGTTGGAGGCAAGGAGCCCACAGGGAGGAAACCAATCACATTCATCCAGGAGGTGGTTGTACTGTGGATATATTTTAAAGATAGAACCACCACTGCCAGGAAGGGGCTTCCTTGTGGCCAGCAGCTTCAAGCTACCTCCAGATCCCCCAGGGGGGAAATCCTCCCTCCCCAGCATTGAAGTGGGGCTTCAGGCAACATGTCTGAGAGAGTCCAGGCTCTGTGGCTTCTCCTGGGAGCCTTCTGTCACCCAGGTCCACCTTCTATCTCTCTGCACTGCACCGCACGCCTCGCTCTGCCCCGAGGCCAAGCTTCTGTTCTGGTCCACCCATCACCTTCCATCTTCTCAAGATCCTTCCCATCTTCTAAGGATTCAGTTGTGCCGCCCCCAGCCCCCCTCTCTGAACACTTCCCTGTCGGTGGGGGACACTAACCAGGTCCGCTTCACATGTGCGGCCCCAGGAGACAGAGACCACAAATGTGCCTGTAGTGTGAGGGCCCCTTAGATGCCAGGACTGCCCCAGGTGCCTCAGCAGCCTGTTAGCTGGTCTGTCAGTGTATGGCATACGTTCAGAATGAAACGATTATGTTTCTTCTTAATCATGTAAGTACATTTTGCCTTATACTCCACGTATGTTCGTATTTCCTTAAATATAAAAATTATGTCTCTGCCTCTCCCTCTGCCTAACTCTTCAAGTCAAATGGAAATTCCAGATTTGCTCTCGTTGGGCTACCCCATACCCTTAGAGGGGTGCTATAAAAAAAAATAGTTTGAGAAGTCAGGTGAGGGGTGCAGGGAGAGGTAGATGTCACTGAGGTTTCGTTTGCTATGAATGGATTTCTCTTTATCTGGTGATCAATTTCACTTTAAAAAATGCATATGTTTAAAAATTTAAAGCAGTACAAAAGGGTAGATCCTGAAAAGTCACCCTTCCGTCTGTGGCCCCAGCCCCCAAGTCCTGTCTTGAGGACAGCCACTCTTACTCACCCCCTATATACCAATCCAGGGATGGCTAATGAACAGTCAATGGCTGGTAATAGAAAGTGCTGACCAACTGAAGGTAAACTGAGGCAGCATGGAACCCAGCCCCCAGCAATGTCCTTCCCAGGGCTAAGGTGGCTTCCATGCGACAGGGTCAGCTAACCTGCCATTTCTATTGTCGTCTTTGGTTCAGGCCCCCTAAGGGTAAGTTTGCAAAAACCCCATGCTAAAGTGGAATTGGGGCATTTGGCACTGCCCTCTGTGGCTCTGGATCTGTGCCCTCACAGGGAGGTCTGCTGTCACTGAGATCCTCTCTCCCGCAAAGCTACATTGGGAAGAAAGGCAGGTGGGGAGTGTTGGGGGAAGCCAGCCTCTGCACTGTGATCACAGCAATGTGAGCGATGACAGTGAGGTTTCGGGGGGCTTTCTCATTCCTCCCCACTCCTGTGCCTCAGAGGCTCACCTGAGAGGCAGCACTCTTGGCCACCTTTCCCATGGGAATTCAGCACAGCCAACAGAACCCCTGAACTCTGCTGGGCCACTGCCAGCAACCTTCAAGCCTTTCCCCCCTGCTGCTTACAGTGACATGATGTCATTTTTATTGAGGCAAGATTAGATTTTTTTCTAAGTTCTCAAAAGTGTGCTTCACATGATCTCTAGTACTTTTCCCACTGAGTGAAGACCACAGAGCTGCCAATTTCAATTTTCTTCAGCTTTTATCACTAGAAGAAGATTAAAAGGAAAAAGGAAGGGGGAGAAAGGCTGAATGAAAATATTCCACTTGGCCCCGGCTGTTAGCATGAGGGTAGCGGGGGACACCCTCATCGCCTGCTCCCTTTTCTGTAACTGGTGCAACAGGAAGATGTCAGGAGACTGGAGTTGGCCCTGGCTGCTGGAAGATGCTCAAGATCCACTGGCCCGAAGGGTCCTCCTGCCAGGAACTGGAAGAGACGAAAGGTACAACCTCGGGTCATTCACCGTCGTCAGGAGAGGATCAGAGAAGATGCTTATCATTTGGGAGGCTATTGGGTAAAATAAACTCTGGGAAAATCTTCATCCTCTTAATTCTAAGGGACTGGATCCCAGGGCCGCAGATCAAAGGCAGACGTTTAACCGACTGAGCCACCCAGGTGCCCTGCCATATACTTTTCTTTAAGGGAAATTGAAGAATGCCTGTTTACATGGATTGTGGTTTTTTGGGTGCCAACTCAGCCTTCAAAATGAGTTGGTGTGATGAAAAAATCTTGAAAAACATAAGCTCCAATCATGTAAAATGAGAGAATGAAGTGTGGCAGAGTAAGGGACATGCCAAAAAACTACATGTCTTGGGACGCTGGGATGGCTCAGTTGGTTAGGCATCTGCCTTCAGCTCTGGTCATGATCCCAGGGTCCTGGGATCAAGCCCCACATCGGGCTCCTTGCTCAGCTGGGAGCCTGCTTCTCCCTCTGCCTGCCACCCCCTCTGCTAGTGCCCTCTCTCTGACAAATAAATGAAATCTTAAAAAAAATAAAAGAAAAAGAAAAGAAACACATGTCTCCCACTCTGTAGGTGTCTTTTTTTTTTTTTTTAAGATTTTATTTATTTATTTGACAGAGATGGCAAGTAGGCAGAGAGGCAGGCAGAGAGAGAGGAAGAGAAGCAAGCTCCCCGCTGAGCAGAGAGCCCAATGCAGGGCTCGATCCCAGAACCTGGGATCATGACCCGAGCTGAAGGCAGAGGCTTTAACCCACTGAGCCACCCAGGCGCCCCCCACTCTGTAGGAGTCTTAAAGTGGAAACCACATTTACGTGACACCACCACTGATGAGCCGAGTTCACATTCCTGCTGGTCTGTTCCTCACCACAGCCTGTGCAGTGGGCGGGGGCAAAATTTACCACAGCTCTACACTGCACCTGGCACGGAGTAGGTGCTCAGTGAGGGTTTGTTGAATAAATGTTGTGTAAACCCCCAATTTCTAGAGGTCAGACAGCCTCACAAGTAATCAAGAAATCAGTCCCGAGTCCCTTGGGAGTAAGTGGCAGAGGTCAGACTTGATCTTAGAGGTCTTGAATTCATACATCGAAGCTCATCAGTACTCAGTTCTCCTTAGAGGCCTCAGAGAATTCTCTTGACAACTGGCCTTTCTCTGGCTGGCAGGAAGGCGACTGTGGAGGCAACCTCCTTGAAGGTGGCAGTGAGTCTTAAAGAGTCGCTTCAATGGATGGAGGCCAAGGTGACTTCAGACGTGGGCAGGACATCTCATGAGGAGACCCTGCTTGGCTGGAAGGTTCTCCTAGCATTGACTTGGTTGTACTAAGAAACGTGGGCATCTGGTGTTGTTCTTCAGGTATGGATTTCTAAGCGGTCCCAGTTCCTTGTGAAAGTCTCTGCAGCTGTCTAACTCTGTCTCTGTCAGTTATGTGGAACAGAAGAAGTGGGGTTCAGAGGCAACTTGTGAGGGAATTCTCCCCATTTGTGTCTTGTGAACCTTGATTCTTCTCCTCCTCACAGCGAGAGAAGGACTGTATGGGGAATGAAGTAAGTCCCAAGTAGTTTGCAAGGCTTTGTCAGGGCGACAGAAATAGCAGCTGCAGTATCACTGGGCTGAAAGAGACCCGGAAAGGGACTGACCCCCTTCTCCTGCCTGCAGGGGCTGGAGCTGATTATGGCCCTGTGGAAATATGCAGGGCCTTTTCCCTGCGGGAAAGGAGGGTCTCTCTGGATGAGAAGGGAGACCAGAGTGTGAAACTTCATGTTTTTGTCTAATCTGTGCTAAGGGCATGAGGCAGTACACAAAGGCTTTGTCCTGGAAGTCGGAGAAGGATCCGGGTTCTAGTCCTGTCTGTGCCATAGACTCATGTGTGTGTCCCTGCGGGCGGTGTTCACGCATCCTTCTCTGGGCCTTGGTTTCCCCATCAGCAGTCATTAAACATTGGTTTTCACCCAATGCCTTGGGAGGTGTTTCCTCCCCAGGCAGTGCAGGCTCTGAACGCGGGGGTGATGCTGGGCGTCAGTGGCTCCTATAAGCCCTCAGATCCTTCTACCAGAACAGTTTGGCTTTTGCCCCTTCACACATTCCATGGTCCTCGTACGATTTTGTTCAAAGAAAGTATTCCACTGGTTTTGTGTTTAAGTTTGAAAACCACCAACTTAGAGACTCAGAATTCCTTTCCAACGCAGAAAATCATATGATTCTTCCCTTATGCCTCCCTGGCTTTTGGACTTTGTCTCCCCTGCTCTATAGCACGTTCTGCGTTAACCCCTTGGATCCCTCTTTTTCTCTTTCTAAAGGGTCATCGCAAGCCAAGTCCGCAGATGATTTGGAGCATGTGGGGCTTGCTGTAAAGGCTGCCTGGGAGAGGGCAACCCCCCCCCCCCCCGCTCCACTGCTCACACTGTCCCCAGCCTGCCAGTGAAACCAAAGACTGCAGATCTCCACTGTGCCTTAATCCCCATAACCGGAACCTCGTCTCACATCCCTCACCCACAGCCAGCCCACGTGGGACATCGAGTAGGTGCTTAGTAACTACTTGCCGAAAGGATTGGTGAATGAATGGCTTGTTCGCCTCTGTGGGAGGAATCACAGATGTCCCCGTCTCGAAGGGCCTCCCCGGGACTGACTGGAGCTTTGTGAATGCTGTGAGCTCTGTGTGATCCTTTTATGAGTTGGGTTGGTTACGGCCGGTGCGGGTCATCCCATGGTATGGGTTCACCTGTGTCCCCTTAAAAAAGATATCGAAGTCCTAACCCCTAGTACTTCAGAATGGGATCTTTTTTGGAAATATGCGTTGCGAGAGGTTTGCAGATGTAATTCGCTAAAATGAGGTCATGATGGATAGAGTAGGGTGGGCCCTTAATCCAGGGGGACTGGTGTCCTCGCGAGAAGAAAAGGAGACACACAGACACACAGGGGGACGACAGTCATGTGATGATGCAGGCAGAGATGAGGATTGCACGCAGAAGCCGAGTGGTGCCGAGGAACGCCAGCAGGTGCCAGAAGCTAGGGGAGGCAGGCCAGGATTCTCCCCTCTAGATTTCAGAGGGAGCTGGGCTCTGCTGACTCCTTGATCTCAGACTTACAGCTCCCAGAACTGTTAGGCAATACATTTCTGTTGTCTTTTTTTTTTCCCCAAAGATTTTATTTATTCATCAGAGAGAGAGAGGGAGAGAGAGAGAGTGCACACAAGCAGGGGGAGCAGCAGTTGAGGGAGAGGGAGAAGCAGGCTCCCCACTGAGCAGGGAGCCTGTTTTGGGACTTGATCCCAGGACTCTGGGATCATGACCTGAGCTGAAGGCAGACGCTTAACTGATGGAACCACCCCGGCGCCCCTACATTTCTGTTGTCTTAAGCCACTCAGTCCGTAGTACTTTGTGAAGGCAGCTCTAAGGAAGGACTATATCCCTCTACCCCCAATGTTATGCTTAAAAGGAAAAATCTACAACCTCTTTTTCCTTTAACCTCTATGAAGTGTTCATAGGAACATGTTTGCTTGAATTTACTGTTTTGAAGCATTAATTACAATCTCTCATCAAAATGCTTCATGTATTTAAAGCTCTAAAATCTTTGTATATTGGGTCATATGTGTGTATTTATTGGAAAGTAAAATAGACAAATCAAAAAGCAAGTGACTTCCCTCCCAAACAAACCAAAAACTCCAGTCCTAGCTCGTCCTAGTCCTCATCTTTTTTTGAGGCAAATTTGCTGAGAATCGGCTACTCATTTGACTTGAAAGTTTGAATGCGAGTGGGGCCTGGGGGTGAGTTTCACTTTCCTCTCTAGGAGCTCGGCGTGCTTGCCTGGGTTAAAGCAGGGACACAGAATCACTGTTCACACCTCTGCAGAAGTGGTACTCCTTGCTTCTGAATATGCTTCCTGAGTTTTGTTTCACTGGCCCTCTTCCTGGGAGCAGGTTACCAGCTCTGGCTTCCCCCAGGTGCCCTTGATCAAGAAAGCACGGCCCTCCCTCCTCCATCGCCAAGGAGATTCAGGAATTTGTGGGACCCACCTCATGTCGGGTTATTGAGTAACTGGCGGGCCATCGAATGTCAGGGCTGAGAAAACAAAGCTGCCTACCTGTTGGGCCAGATGACCTCACAGCCCCACCTGGTCTTCTGGCACGGGCTTGCTCCAGCTTCCGTCAGTGACACCTTCCAACAAGCCCCGCCCGCATCGTGCTGTTCTAAACACCCAACTTGAGGATTCTTGCTGTGCTCAGGTGAATGGCAGTAGCTTTGGTTCCAACTAGGCCTACAGCAGTCTTGCAGGAGTGGGAGGGGGTCTTTTCCAGAAGATGGAAATTGAAAGGAATGAAGGGCTTACTGTATTTTAATTCAAAATCCACCATTTATCTCCCAACCTGGATTTCTAGCCCCCTCCTATAGGTGTGGAGAAGACCAAACCATCACCAGCTACCCCCACCATTCCCTCAAATCTGACCTGGCTGACCAGGGCTTTGCGGCAGGAAAGAGACGTTTCCGGTGCCATTTTTCCAGCGTAGGTACCACAGTAGCAATAATAGTGGGTATCTTCGATACACAAATCTTCGGTGGGGAAAACCATCTTCCCCAGGTCTCAGCAGATAACTGGGGGCCTCCCTTAGGTTGTATCTGTGGAACTGCTGGCTTCCCAGTCAGTGTCTCTGACAGATTCCCACAAACACCAGGAGGACAGGGAACGGTCTCCCAACAGCAAGTCATGGTCTCCTCAAGTTTGGTTCGGAAGAACTAGGGGAAACTGAATTATATAATTGTTCTGTGGTGACACCAAATTCATGCATTTGCTCATTCATGCTCTTATTCATTCATTACATGGACATTTTCTGAATTCGTTCATTACAGGCCGTGCACTGTGTGATGTGTTGGGGAAATAAAGACATGGCCACAACTTAGTGATGCTAGCGTGACTTGTGCCTAAGGGGAAGTCTGTCCAGGGGGCTGAGAAAGTTCTGGGGACAAAGAAACTGATCAGTGGCCCCTGGGGAAGCGGGGCCTGCTCTCCTGGGTTGAGGATTACCTGGACACTTAAGCAAGAGCTATCGCAGGTGTTCCACGAAAGGAACCTCCAAGAGGTGTCAGTCCTCCTCAAGTGGGAGGTTGCAGGGCAAGTGAAAGAGTTCACCCCAGTAGTCTCCTTGGAATTTTCATTCCAGATTCCTTATATGAAAGTTTTCCTTAGAAAAGACAGAGAGGAACATCAAAAGAAAGCAGATTCCCAAACTTTTTTTTTTTTTAAGATTTTATTTATTTATTTGAGAAAGGGAGTGTGCGCATTCTTGCCCAAGCTGGGGGGAGGGGCTGTGGGAGAAGCAGGCTCCCTGTTGAGCAAGAAGCTGATATGGGGCTCATCCCAGGATCCTGGGATCATGATCTGAGCCGAAGGCAGATGCTTAACCGACTGAGCCACCCAGCTGCCCTAGATTACCAAATGTTTTGAGACAAAATTGGTTATGGCACACATAAGACCCAGTCCTTGCATTTGACAGAAAGATGTCGTAGGCTATCCTTTGGTCAATTCTAGGTTGCAGTTATAAATGAATTTATAATTACATGGAGCTCTGGGCCTCTCTCCCAAGGTCAGACTTCCATATTTGCTTGTCTGTGCACTGGCTCCAGATCTCATGGGAACCATGCTGTTTTATGTACTGGCCTAACACATCCTAAAACAGACATTCTCCAACTTAGCACCTAAGAACACATTGCCACATTTTTTTTTTTATCAAAGGGTCATGCCAGTTTTTATTTCGGCAGTATATGGGAGCAGATGAGTTTAATTCTAAATTATCTGCTGTTTGCCTCTTGCTGAACACATGATCGAGAATGAGAATGAATTTAACCCTGTCCTTGTATCTGATAGAGTCAACACAAAGAAATAGGTTTGCATTACATGAGTTTGGCTCCTTTACATTGAACTGTAAATTAAACATGACCCTCGCTTTTCTTATGTGTCATTACAAAAGATAAAAGTTCCTTTTTGCATCTTCTGCAAACCATCATTGAGAACCCCAGCCACTGGGCCACTTAGTGTCCCTTGCATCAGGACATATTAACTCTTTCTCTTTCCATTTGTATATCAAATAATGATACCTTGGCTCTCAAGAGCTCGGAGTTCACCTTTATGCTTGTGGGAAGTAAAGGCCTCTGAAACTGCTTCTCCTCCTCTTTCAGGGAGATGGAGAACAGGTTCAAGCACCACCAGCTAAAGGCACATCAGGTATCAGGGTAATCGATGAGGAGGTAAGCTTCCAAATCTGCAGGTCCTCTCTAACCCCTGTATCAGGGAGTGAGGTGAGACCTCCAGCTTCTTCCCTGTGCTAGACTGTGGGACCTGCCTATTCTGCCAAGCAGACCCTGAGCCCACGTGTTTAAGCTACTGCAAGGAAAGATTGGGAGCTAGTTTCTAGAAAGCTGAGAGAGTGGCAGCAGCAGAGAATGGTGACCATTCTACTTGGTAGTGGTGGTAGTGGGCAGCGAGGGGCGAGTCCCTGTGCAGGTGGCCAAGGACAGAAGTCTGGAATGGGGCAGAGAACAGGCGCGAGACCAGAGTGCAAAAGGCAGGGACTGCATCACAGTGCCCCTGGATTCAGTGACTACCTCTTGGTGAGTGTGCTCACCAGTCGCATTAGCTGGAAAAGTTCCACTCCAACCCTCCCCTTTTGTGGGCTGCTGTGCACAAGTCCCTCTTCCACAGAACAGTGAAGAAGAGAAGATGAGGTTTATTCCCAAGGGTACTTAACTGCAGTAGCCAGCTAACCTGGCTAACATAATTGTCCCTTTCTTTCCCCTGTGATGTTTGGGATTTTTCCCTTCATTTGTTTCTTGAGCTTTGCTATCATAAGCATATTTGTTTTTTATTTGTAGCAACCTAAATTTTTGTATGATATTACATACAAGTAAATAACCAAATGCGTGGAGTTCTAAGGCTAACACGTGCAAGAAAGAGTGAACAAATCAAGACTCTTTGGGGGTGAGGCCTTAAAGAGCTAGGACTCCAGCAAGAACTTAAGTCAGCGGGACAATTATCTACAGGTGACAGGGCCTGAGCTGGGTAGGACTGAGCCCAAGAATCATGAGATCAAAGGCAGTGTTGGAGGTGGGAATAATCATGAGTAGATATGAGCAATTGTCATTCTTTTAGCCCTTTACAGTTTGTAAAGTATTTTAATATCCATTATACCTCTTAATCTTCACACCAAGCCCACGATTGCATATTATTATCATCCCTGTTTTAACCGTGGGAAACTAGGCTCGGAGAGTACCAGTGGTGGATCTGGGACTCATACCTGGGTCTTCTGGCCCCAAATTTCATCTTTACCCCACTCTCTGTCCTACACTCTCTGGGCTGGGGGAGGGGGCCAACCTACCTAAAAGGGAAGAAAGTGTTCTAGAGAGCAATGGAAAATTATGGTATTGAGTTAAGGCTGAGCCAGACTGAGGAGGTCTAGTGCAGATTTCATACAGAGGAAATAGGGAGCCATTGAAGACTTTTGAGCGGGAGTGTCACATGTACAAGTAGTAGGACCCCATCAGTCCATAACTAGTAATCACAGAGGCTTGTGATGTGGAAGGAGGGAATATGGGAGTAGAGATGCGGTGAGGGGGCTTGGGGAAGAACTTTGGGTCTCCAGATTCTATTGTTAGTACCCAGGAAGTTGTCGGCTTTTTTCTTGGGATTCACTGCTGTGCCATGGAGTTGGAGTTAGACAGGGCTGAAATATTCAGTCCCTTTCATTCACTGTCTTTATTAATGATCCAGTATCTCTGACGTTTGTTCCACATGATTTTCAGCGCCCATTTCAGGGCACTAACATGATTTAGAGTTGGAGCAAACATCCGCGTTTGTTATATTTCATGAATATTTACTGAGAACCAACTATGTGCTGGGTGCTGGGCAAAGTCCCCCTGCCAGGGAGAGAGAGAGATTGGGCTGCAGAGCCCCGCGTTCAGGTGCTCTCAGTCTCCAAGGGGAGAAGGGGTTGTGAGAGAGGGTGTGGGGGAGGGGGAGGTGAGGAGCTTAGATCCGGACACAAAGACTGCTGGAGAGGGCTATCAAGACTGGCTCCTTTTCACACCAGGAGGACCCGGATTAGGAACGGATCCACCTGCAGCCGGGAATGTCCCACTCTGAGGTTGCCTTTGTCGGAGGGATCAAAGGGTGTCTCGGAGCCGCCAACAGCCCCAACCCCAGCTAACTTCTCCTTTCTGCTCTGCTGTTGGTCAGCCCTCCGAAACTGGCTGCTCCAGAATGTCGAGCTGGGAGTCTGTCTCCTCCCCCTCCTCCCTCATATCTGTTCCCCTGGGGCTGCAGTAGCATGCCCCACCTTCCCGAAGGGGAAGTCTGTGCTGCAAGATGCAACCAGGACACCTGAGTCCCGCGTCACTGTGTGCCCTTGGGCAAGTTATTTCTTCTCTTGGGTTCCTTCCTCTTTCAGAATTGGAGCAGCTCTGGGAGCTCTAAAGATAGGATGGTGATTACTGCAGAATTGCAATGTACCTGCGCGTGCGCGTATGTGACTTGCTGTTTAATAGGGTGCTAAGACAGCAGGGGGGCTGGCCTTTGCGTCCCCCACCCCCACACGTGTGGCTCTCATTACTGTCAGGAGGCCTTAAGTCGGGCCCCATGGAGATGAGAACAGACCCCTTAATTAGGCACGGTTCCCAGAGCGAGAGAGGGAGCAGCCTGAGCCGGGCTGCCCTGGCGTCGCGGGGAGCCCAGCCTGCAGGGCTGAAGGGGGGTGGGAGGGGGAGGTGGAGGGCCGGGGCATCTGAAGGACTCAGCAGGTTTACACTGCGCTGACCCGATGGATGAATGGGGCCCTGTCCACCCACATGGGGGCCTGGAATCTTCAATTACGGCAATTACATCAACAGGTCGGAAGGGCAGCACTTTCCACTGAAGAGGTTCAGGGCTTAAAAGAAAAATCCTAAAGCCACTGTTTTTTTTTTTTTTTTTTCTTTCTTTCTTTTAAAGGGATTGGGTTGATGGAAGAAGACCCCCATCCGCAGTCTAATTGGGCTGCGGGTAAAAAACAAAGATGTGGCACGTTTGGGGAGTAAAATCTGGCTGGCACGTGTTCGCCCGCTTCTGGACTTCTGGCTCTTCTCTCAGTCAGCTTGGCGTTGGAGTCCCCTGGGCATAGGCATCTCCCCTGTCATCTCCCTGAGGGAGGGACCTGGTGCCTTCATCTCTGAAGCTTCCTGGCGTGCAGCACAGAACCTGCGTCCGAGGGTTGGATTAGACCTTGGAGAAGTCATGTCTTCTCTCCGACCCTTGACTTCCCTAGCTGTAAAATGGGCATAACGCCTTCCGTCCTTTCTCCTTCCCAAGCTTTTAAAGAAGACTCTAGTTCCTGCTCTGCATTCAAGCTAATTGGATTTTTTTTTTTTTTCTCTCAGCCTCCACACTGCTGCGTAGGTGAGACTCAAGTGAGGCTCTCGCACCAGCAGCCTGGGCACCACCGGGGAGCTTGTTAGAAATGCAGATCTCGGGCTCCACGCCAGACAGACCAAATCTGCGTTCGGCCACAGAGTGCACGTTGCAGTTGAGAAGCTGGGCCCTGGACCGAAGCTTGCACACAATGAGTGAGAGTGAATGAGACTTGCTCTCATCTATAAAATGGGGATAATGATATTTGTTCTTTCCCATCGGGGCGATGCTGGGAGATGACATAAAGTACAGTTGGCCCTGGAACAACATGGGTTTGAACTGTGTGGGTCCACTTACATGCGGACTTTTTTCAGTAAATATAGTAGAGTGCTGTAAATGTGTTTTCTTTTCCTTATGATTTTCTTAATAACATTTTCCTCCTTTGGCTCCCTTTATTGTAAGAATACAGTAGGTAACACATATAACACACAGATATGTGTAGATCGACTGTCATTGGTAAGGCTTACGGTCAACAATAGACTATTAGTGGTTAGGGTTTTGGGGAGTCAAAAATTATATGCAGATGTTCGTCTTTGAGGGGAGGCAGTGCCCCTAATCCCTGCCTTGTTCAAAGATCGACTATACTTTGTAATTATAACAGTCTTTTATGCTGTCACTCCCTGGACCGTTCAATAAACATTCACTGAGCAGCTACTATGAGGCAGGCTTGGGGTTCATACAATACCATTCCTGTCTAGAAAAAAAATTTGCCGTCTTCCAGGAGTCTGATTTTTAAAGGAACTAAGTGTAACAGAATGTGTTAAGTGCTATCAGATAGCTATGCTCAAAAGAGGAGATGGTAAGGGTGGGTGAAAATTGATCATGATGGAAGTTCAAGGCTGGGTAGGTTAGAAGAGATTTCACTGACAGGCTAGCATTGAGCTTATGGGCATGAGCCCAGGTGAAGGCAGAGAAGGGTCTTCTAGATGGAGGCTTAGAGGCTTGAAAGAGGGTGGGGGATTTGGGGTGGCCTTTAGTCCTAAGATCTAGCACGAGTGACCAGAGTGAGAGTGTATTTGCAGATGGTCCCATGGCTTGATTGGTAAGAATGGGCAGTCGAGGTCCTGCTGCCTGGTTAGTCTTGTTGGGGCCCATCATCTGGTTGACTGTAGCTTCCAGTCCCATGTTGGGGTTATCGGCCTGAACGTTAGAGTCCTCCTTACAGTGCTAACCGCCTAAGAGGAAGACATCATTTTTTGGTCTGTTTGTTTAATGGCTTTTCTTCTTATTCCTCATCTGCTCTGCTGGGTGAGGTTTTTAGTGCCAGCAGCAGTGTTCTACTTCTGAAGATTTTAACACAACCCCGGGGAGTGAGGGATTAGTGAGGGAGCAGAAGCAGGCTTCCAGATATGTCATTTATTTTGTCCAGCCCAGTTGGAAAGGCCAGTTGGCACCTAGTTGGCTGAGAATTGAGATGTCAACATGTTTAGGTAATGGCTGAAGCCCTCCTTTGGTTCCAGTGACATGTGTCGTTGCCCCTGGGCCCCTGCGACCACCCCGCTGTGTCCACAGCCAACAGCGGTCACAGGCTCAGGGCTCTGTGGCTCCCAGCCGGCCCACAGGTGACAGAGGACAGATAGCAGAAGCTCCAATACATGTGGGGGAGGTGGCTCTCATCCAAATAGCCAACGACGCCTCCGGGCTCTGTCTGGTCCTGGTGGGTGAGACCAGAGGGGAAAGTGGGTGACACCATATGGGCGTGGGCAGAAGTCGGTGCAGCGCAGAGCGGACGCAGGGTGTGAACTGAGTCCTCCTGCGGTTCAGGAGGTTTGCAGCTTGGTGCCAGGCTTGAGCTCTCCTTGCTGGTGCAGGCCGGCGGTGTGTGTGCTTATGCCGCACCCAAGTGCAACTCCACGAGGAAGGGGGTCGGACCCCAGTGCTGGGGGCTCCGGGGGCTCCTCGGTATGGCAGGAAAGTGGCTGGATGCTTGCTGGGGCTCCTTTTTGCTCTGTTCCAAGCTAAAGGCAAGGACTTTGTCTTGCTTGTGTGGGATCGCGCCCTTGGGTGCTGAGTTAATATATAACCGAATTTGCAGAAAGGTTTATCTGTTTGTCTCTGGCAAGGACATTTGGGCAAACGGCTTTCTGCACCAATGCCCTCGGCATTAGGTTTTATTATCTTTCAGCAAAAGAAAGAGATAGAACCTTCCCATATCGCTCGTCCCTTTTAGTTGTCTGTTGGCAACTTTTTAAGAAAAGGGCCCCAGGGGGTTAATGCTCTGAGTAGAGCTTCACTATAAGCTTGGGAAGGGGCACAATGCAGACCAATTGCCTGAGATGTTCAGGCAGGTAGGACTGTTCACAAATGTGGACTCTTCCACTTAAGAATAGTGAGACTTGGGAAAGTACTTTACTGCCGCATGCCTCAGTGTCCCCAGTAGCACACAGGAGTGAACTGCTCTTCTTGCTGGATTTGGGGGGTGCGAACCAAAGGACACAGTGCAGTGACACCTGCTGTGCCAGGAGTCTGGATGGGAGCCGGCCCCCACTGGTCTAGAGAAAGAGAATCGAAAGGCTTTTAGCCTTGAAAGCCATTTCGGGGCGGGGGGGCAAGCAAAGGAACCCAGTGTCAGCCTTGTGGCACCCAGAAAAGGAAACTGCAGTCAGGAACGCCCCACCCTGTGGGGCCCCTGTGGCCACCACACCTGTCCTCAGACCCACACAAACACCACAGAAGAGGGAGCCCCACCACCCTCAGGCTTCCTGATCTCACTCTCGACACCCACTCTCGCTCTGCCTGACCTGGCCTTTGCTCTCCCAGCTTTGCCTTGCCTTTTTGGATCTGACCCTTGCTGATTCCTTGCTGTCGCCTCGAACCCGCTCAAAACTGATTGATGGAACACTCAGGGCATGACTCCTCCCGCCTCTGGGGCATACACCTTCCTCCGCAACGGGGCTGGGAGCTGGTGCCGCTGAAACAGCCTCCGCCCTCCTTCTGGGTTTTTCTGTTGGTTTCCAGGGTGCCATTTCCTCCTGCCCTCTCTGTCTCTTTCATGTTTTATTTTTTATAGCTGTGGGGAGTCTTTGAGGATTGGGGGGGGGAGTTGAGACGCAGGCCATAGGCCCCCTTCATCAAGAGTGGAAGTCAGCTGGAGGAAAAAGGATGTCCTTAAAGTGGCGTGAAGAAGCTTTCACGTGAAGAAGCTCTCAGTCTCCCCTTCGGAGGGCAGAGGGGAAATCCTGAGCAAGTTCCTGGTATCAGCGACCCAATCTATCTCCTCTAGATGCTGTGGAGATAAAACGTTTCTCTCTCTCCCAAGCCCTGGTTTCTTGTTTTGTAAAATGATGACAGTGATGATTCCGGCTTAGGCAACTTCATCAGGCTGCTATGTGGAGCCCAGCAGATACTGGATGTGAAAGTACTTGGTAAGCTTTGAAGCCCCAGGCCCTTGACAGGTGCTGCCCACGTCCATTCTCAGCCCCTTCCTGGGTGGAGGTCTTGTGTATCCTCAGCGGGGGCCGTTCCTGCTTGTGCTCAGCAGCCCCCTGCCCAGCCCCCCGAGTTTCCAGGACTGGAAGACAGATGAATTCCACATGATCCCTTTCCTCAGGCTTCCCTCCCAGATGGAGTGTGCCTTGTGGGTGGTGAGGTGGCTTGAGGAATTCGCAAGGGTGACTTTGCGGGAAGCCTCCAGATGGGACCGCCGGTGGCAAACACGCCGGAGCAGAGGACCCCAGCTCCCATCGTGGTAGATGCGTGGGGGGACGTGTGGGCCTGCGCATGTGACGTGGTGTCCCCACGCAAGCAGGGAAAAAAGTCATTAAGGGCACGTAGTTCTTCTGATTTCATACTTGAAGAAGCTGAGGGTAAGAAGGGCCAAGCTCCTCCTTCATAATTGCGTGGCTAATAGAGGGAGATGTGGCATTTGAACTTGGATCAGACTGACTGCGAAGCCTTTACTGGTTCCTTTACAGCAGCTGTCATGTGTGTAGGAATGATCGCCTCACAGGGTCAGGGAAAGAGGGATGGGAATGGTGCTGTGTAGTGGTAGAGGAGGGAGAGATCACATCCCATGGGAGAAATCCAGGACACCTTCATGGAGGAGGTGGCTTTTGCCTCTAAGTTTTGAGGAAGAGGCCAGATTGGACATCCAGAGATGTTTATTCTTTCTGTCAGTTGTTCATTCCATGCGGTGTGTGGGTGGCTTCCCACATGTGGTGAATCTTCATAAAATCCAGTTAGTTTACAGTCTCAGCTAAGTTCACACTGTCCCCATGCAGGAGAAGTCCCGGAGTGTTGGCGACAGGAGAGGAAGGCACTCTGGACTGGGTTCGACCAGGAACTTTCCTGGAACAGGTCCCGGGGAGAGGTCTGATGCAGTGGGTCAGTTAAGAACTGGATTTTATTACAGATTTATTGCAGCCTGCCTTCCTCCCTTCCTTCCTCCCTCCCTCCCTCTCTCGAGTCCTGAGTGCCTGCTCTCTGCCTAGGGCAGGACTGAGTGCCTGCAAAGGGGAGGTGGGGGCCCATTCTGACACAGTTTGTGCCCCCTGGGAGTCTCAGTGTTTAATGATGGGAGGGATAAGGTTGCAGGGCCGCAGGGTCCCCATGTTTGCCTAGAAACTCAAGAAGCCCCCAGCGTGGGGCAGGGTGACTCCATTGAGGGGTGTGGGTAACTAGAGTAAAAGAAAATAAGCTGGCCACACAGATGTGGGGGGAGGTGTGTTGGGACAAGGAGGTGGTGGGGAGCAGTGGGTGGTGGTGGGGGAGGGGGTGGGGGGAGAAGCTTGCAGGGCAGCCGGAGGGGAAGGCCCAGGCCTGCCGCTGGGAGGGCTGAATGAGTCAGGAGTCGGGCAGCTGGCTCACCCAGAGGCTGCCCCGCCGCACCTGGTCTTGCCCACAGCTGTGCTCCAGCGAGCGGCCCACGCCAGCAGCCAGCTTTCATCAGGGCAGCTAGAGCAGAACTTGGCTGC